ATATATATATATATATATATATATATATATATATACGTGCCCAACTATTATTACGAAGCCCATTAGACACTAAAGGCCACCAGAAGCCCATGTTAAATTTTGTTTTAATGCTGTATATATTGCAGGTATTATAAGTACGAACTAATATAATTTCATTCACACTTCGAGGGGTAACTTTTTTTAAAATATGTAAAACTAGATAATTCACAGTTTTTACCAAACCCAATGTGGTTTTACATATTTAAAGAAGCCCGGTTGTATATAATGTATATGGTCATACAGTTAAAAGAAGCCCTGAAACGTTGCCACATTTCTCATGCATTATTTTTAATATAATCAGACTTATAGGTACAAGTCAATCTACAGAAAACAATATAACCAATTATTATCAAATACCTAAATTGATTCTGAAACAATTTGGAATTATAATTATTTTGTCTTAAGAATTAAATAGGTACCTACTGAAATTAAGATAATTGAAATCAACTGTTTTGTAATTTTGAGCATTATTTTTTCTCCAAGAAAATTGAAAAAACCGTTGCATACATTACTTTACAGTGTGTCCACGAACACAGACACAAAGAAAGAAAAAAATCTTTTATTCGTTTTACGACCAAATGTCATTCTTTATAAAAAGTTCTACTTGTTGAGAAAATTAATTCACGATAAAATTTTTGTATATCAGATGTACCTTCAGGGTGTACATAAAGGAAACTATGAAAATGCTTCAAGAGAGAAGTACAATTAATTATTTATTACTTTTAACAAAAAAATTATAAAACTAAGTTGTTTATAAACTAACATAAAGACTAAATACAAAATTCAAAATAAAAATTCGTATATTTAAATATTAAAGGTTTTTATGTAATTATTTGCATTTTACAAAAAATCAAGATACTTAGCTGATTTTATATACCTATGTTCATGTTAATACTGACAGATGTAAATAAAAATTTGTTGTAAAATCCAAATAATTACATAAAAACTATTATTATATTATATTAATTTTTAAACATTCGAATTTTTATTTAGAAATTTATATTTAGTCATTATGTTAGTTCATAAACAACTTTGTTTTATAAAATATTTGTTAAAAGTAATAAACAATAATTGTACTTCTCTCCTGAATCATTTTCATGTTTTCCTAATTTATTTACCCCTGTACATATAATCTAAAAATTTTTATTGTGAATTAATTTTCTCAACAAGCAGAACTTTTTATAATGACTTGGTCGTAAAAATAATAATAAAGATTTTTTCCCTCATGGGAATCCATCCGCGGACACAGTGTATTTTTACATTTATAAAAAAACAGAGTTGTTTAATTATGCATATTATACATTGTTTTATGCTTTAATTATATTTGCACTTGAAGAAGAGGGAAATGTATAAATAGGTATTTTTATGAATTTTAAAGTACAAGTTGTTTTTATTGCTTTTATTAAAAATTCGTTATTACATAACTATTTTTGCCTGAAAATATTGTAAACCATTGTTTTTATTTTTACCCAAT